AAAAACTCTCTATATGGAATCAAATTGGTGCCAGAAACTGTAACTGTAAGATTAGCTAGGAACCTTGGGGTGCAGAAAGTTTATGTTAATGAGGGAAAACAATTAGAAAAGAATGATGAGAATGGTTGTACAGCCAGAAGTATGTAATCAATGTCACTGTTATACATGTAGAAATGGCTAAACCGTTACATATTTTGCTTCATGTATTATCAACAACATTAACAAAACAAGGAAGACTTAGAAGAAGAAAAAATAATTATGACACATCAGGTGCTTAAGTAAACTGCTTCTAATATATGAGTAGCCTAAGCTGCAGGCTGCAGGATTTCTAAACGTCTCATCATCTTGGGATGCATCAAGGTTCTGAGGACCACTGCCGTCGTGATGTCACCCTGCTGGCCTGTGACCTCACTGCAGTTAGCAAAGATGATCCTCCTACTTTCTCAGTCCAAGGGACTACAGTTAGAGTACTTCAAGTAAAAGCAAATATACCCCTTTAATAAAATCACTGAAAGTCATTCACCATTAACACTGGTTAGCATGACTTTAAAAATAAATGCAACGTCTATGCCGATTTTACCACTGCCTGGCAGTTTGTCATTCTGTGGTGCCCAGTGTTTGGTTATGATGCTGGAGACTCCTGCCACTGGCAAGGTGAATGCTGGCAGGATCACCCGTGGTGGACAGGGTGCCCTGGAGCTTCCAGACTGACAGAACCGGAGAAAGGGCCGATGAGCTGCTCCCAAACTAGGCACAAACGGAACCTATGGACGTTGCCTGCCTCGCGGCACATCACGAGGGGTCGCTGATGGCGCTGTTTAGGGAAACAGAGCAAGTGAAGGCAAGCGGGTCACAGTGAGGAGGATCGCACAACAGCTGCAAACGTTGCCTAAACCACACTGGCAATTGTGACACTGGCACAGGCCCAAACGGCATTTCTTTATGCAGTTCATGGGCTTGCCATGATTGGGGTCAACTGGGCAGCAGCGCTGCCTCTATCTACTTACCAACCTACCTGTCTAAAGATGCCCATTAGTGTGGCCTCTCTGAAATGTGAAAGTATCGAAATGTAATATGAAAAAGTGTCATAAAGGAATGACGCCAAGCATTAGTGGTTCCGGGGCCCTGGTGGGTTATGCTTGGATTTTTAACCCCAAGATCAGCAGTTCGAAAACAACAGACGCTCTGCCAGAGTAAGAAGAGGTTTTCTACTCTCATAAAGCTTTGCAGTCTTAGAAACCCACTGGGGCAGTTCTACCCCGTCCTACTGACTCGCAGAGTTGGAATCAGCTGGATGGCAGGTGGGTGTTGAGTGCGTCAGTGAGGTGAGTGGGAGGTCGGGGATGAGAGGGAGGGAGGTATTTCCTAGTACAAAGAGACTGGTGCTTGGCATTGACTGAAATGTGTAGAGGAAACTATTTTTCAATCCTCCCAACTTCTTCTTGTAAAAATACATTTGTCAAAGGCATTTCAACGAGTTGAAACCTAGGCAATAGCTTATTTTCCTGTGAATGAATATTTTACTTTTAGATAGATTCTTATAAATTATATTATTTTGACTTATAACAATAATCAGGTAGAGCAAAAACATCTATAAAATACATTTAAGATGGTTTCTGATTCTTGGGTAAATTAAGAAACTCCCAAAAGTTCAGTCAAAGAAATGTTCTTTCCCATATCCTCGATCTCTTAAAACACTTGATCATTCAGTCCACTAACTTTAGTTTTATTTTGCATTGTTGACAATAATTTGTCTAAAAATGGATGGATGGATGGATTGTGATGAGTTGTACAAGCCCCCACTAAAATGACTTTTTAAAAAGAAAATAATTTGTCTATAACCAAGAAAGAGCCTAGATAATGTTTTTTAAAGTAGTTTTTGAAGAGCTGTGTAGAAACCCTTCATGGTAAATGCGGGCAATGATCAGTCGAGGTCCATTCTACCTGAGATCTATCATGTCGGACAAAAGCAGCACTTCGAAACTTGCCCTAGCAATAGTCATCGTACTCAACATACAGTCAAGACGGCTAATGAGGCAATCCCATGACTCTTGCCAAGTGCACACGAGAATCATGTGTCACTTTGGTTTCCTGACGTCAAGAATGGTGGAAAGTTAAAAACTGTTCACAGCAGGATAACGACATAACTATAAGATACAAGAGCTTGTACTGACGAAATGGGGCACAGCAAACCCCAATCCATGCCGAAGTGCACTCTGAAGATGGAATTCCAGACCACACTCGAAATGACGAGGCTTTGCAACAAATAGGGGAGAAATGACGCTTCTCACAACAGGAAATGAACTTGAAACCCCATCTAAGACAGAAATGGCAACAACAACAAGATTATTAGTGACTACATGGATTGTTGTGTTGAAAGAGACTGAGTTCCATGAAGATGTGATGAACGTTTCCTGATGGAATTGTGGGTAAGCGCTGCGCTGCTACCACAAGATCAGCAATTCAGACCCACCACGCGCTGCTTGGGAGAAGGACGAGCCTTTCTGCTCCATGACGATTCACAGCTTCAGGAAACCCAAAGCAGCAGTTCTACTCCGTGCAGAGGGTGCTGAGTTCGAACCAACTCAATGGCAGGGAATTTCTGAGATGGTTAAAAGGGAACATAGTTACATTCATTGACAGACTGCTTCCCACCCCTGCTCCCAAAAGACGGGGAGCTAAACAACTTACCATCTCAATATGTTTGAAAGGGAGATATCATATAGTCTAAGTTTCAAAGCTCAAAATATTTGAGAGTCATCTCCAACCCTTCAAAGAAGAGCTCCTAAAGGGCAAGCATGTGCTCTTAACAAACCTCTCCTTATGCACCAGCAGAGGGAATGCTGGGTTGAACCATGGGTTTGACTTTGGCTGCATTTCTTATGTTTGTATAACTATTTATCTTCCAGGTAATGAGGGGTGGAAATCTGAATCACTGACTGCAGGATATGAAGAATTTAACCATCAAGATTTGGAAATAGTCTTAAATGTGAAATTTAACATTTAATCCAGTGCAAGAACAATCATTTGCTTTCTCAAGGGAAACTGTCCACTCCATCAACATCCTGAAAACAGAAGCAGGCGGATTCACCGGCTGCCAGAATCCAGGTAGCCAGCCAAAATGGAGAGCCAGTCCCCACCAAGCTTCCTGTGCAGAAGACATTCAGTATGTGTTTGATGACAGGTAGATTCTGAAGAAAAATATGCTTAGTATCAAAACCTAGAACACACAGTGGAACATCTTTTTGCAATTCTTTTGAGTATTCTTAGCAAAGAGTCAAGGTAAGAATAACCAGGTTTGCTTCTTGAGACCCTTAAAATTTTACTCACAGATAAAACAAGTGCAACTCACTTATTATTTTTGAGGATTGAGCAATATATTTGAAAATTTCTCCGGATGTTGAAATGTACATAAAAGATGACATTAAGATGTAGATGTAAGTGCATAAAATATATAAAAAATCAGATACTGTGGTGAATAAACAGACCATGTTCTACATTTCAACATCTACCGCATATACACATACTTTCAATCCTTTGGAACATTAATTGATATAAGCAATTTTTGACTATACAGACCATCTGGTTGCCAATTTCTGTTTCTCCTTGAAACTGAGATATTAGATATATATATTACAGAAAATGTCTTTGTTAATACCCATGTAAAGATATTTAAAAGAAGATTCTATTGGGGAAAAGTGACATTGTACTACATATGATAAATTAATATTTTCCAACAAAAGTGGATTCTGTCTTCATATTAATGCTATTGATTATTGATTAATGAATATTGATTAATATTCACTGAAAACTTCCTCAGACTGGATCTTGTATGTATCCCTAAATTAGCATCAATATAACTAACTGTCTGGTACATTTCAATGTTCTTCCTGAAGAATAACTCTCTTGGCATCTTTTCAATGTTATCCATTATTGAATGTTGCTACAAAATTTAATTTTAATAAAATATTGTAAATGTACCATTCTCTGGTTTTGTTTTATGAATTAAGATAAATGATTCCACGCATGATGATTTTATGGTGTCAATATCCAAAACTCTGCCATCAAGCCCAGGCCAACTCAGAGCGACCCGTTAGGAGAGGGTATAAACCTGCCGCCTGTGGGTTTCTGAGACTGGCAATCTTTATGGGAGTAGAAAGCCTCATCTTTCTTACAAAGAGTGACCAGTGGTTTCAAACTGCTGACTTTGCAATTAGCAG